AACTAAGGTCGGTGACCTCTGCAAAACCTCTTAAATCTTTCGCGTTATACCCACCTCGTGAACGAATGTTTCTGGAAAGGGCACTATTGACAACGATAAAACCCAACTTTTTCGTCACCATAAGAAGAGTTCATCGCACTTAAATGCGCTTGCAACAGCTCTCTGGCTCGAAAATGTCACAGCAGCAATGTATTTATCTACGAGTACATTGTCGCACAGCTTGTCATTAACGCACAAGTACCTGCTGCAGTCATTCCGAGACGACATCGTTGCATCGACGCCATTCGTGAGACTGCACCCAGTAGATCAGCGAGATAATATAGTTGTATTTGAATCGTTTCCTGCGCGCATTATTGTTAGTATGCGACCCTATACAAAATATAATTGTATACAGAACAGAGAATGGATGTGCTGGCCAACGTCATGGAACACAGTGGCTCCTTCGTCCTGACATACTTTCTCGCTCTGTCATCTTTCTCTTATAGACGTTATCTCTTGTCGCAGCTAGGAAAACGCAGAGTTCAAGCAGCGGTCCAAGCAGCTATAATAGTATGGGACAGTATGCGAATAACAGATCCGAGGAAGTACAGAGATGAGTCTGCGCAATCGACTGACTTGGCTGACTGGCATCGATTCGTAGCGGCCACAGTCTGAAAACGGCTGTCGCGCTGGGGAATGACGCAAGCTCTGTTTTACCCGCTTAGGGCTGCTGGCTAACATAAGCGACCATTTCTAGCTGTTTTTCTCATTCTTCAAAGAAAAATTCATTGTTCAATGTCCGCATCAAGAGACATACCATGCATGCATGTACATATGTATATGTATAGCGTAACAACATCTGCAAGTAATTTATGCCAGGAAAATCGGTTCCCGTCGGTGTTGAAATTGGATTCGACAGCTCGCTTTGTGGCTAGATCTAAACTGTACAAAATCTAAAGTAGTAGTTTCGAATTAAAATAACGGGGAAAATGACTTGCCACAAGACGATAGAGTAAACTGTGATTAGTTCTACACTTCTATCTATTCTTTTTCTTATCTATTACATAACTATGTTAGATATATATTGTTATTACAGCTCCTAAAGCCTTTTTTGAGGGTCGTCGAGTCACGGCGAAGATTGCTAAAGTTTCGCGTTATGGCAGGGTGACAAAGACTGAAGAAACATGTTAACCATTTGTCTACCTGAACGTGCTTGACTTACCGGTTACATATACCTGTATTAAATTATTTGGAAGAGAATCAATGCTACAAGCGAAAAACTGCCGCGTGCAGTGGTCGTCAATACCGTAAGTAGTTACTATTGTGAAATGTTGATATTAGAGTCTAAATTTCGATTTGAAGACTAAAATATCTTCCGCATATCTTTGTATTAAATATAAGTATGTAAATATAGCATATATTATATATACCAACAAGCTGACAAAATAACAACACATGCAACTCTAAGTGTTCTTAGTCAAAGAGTTAGATAAACAGGTGGCTCAAACATAGGAAGAAGAAAAGCTCCATATTAACATGTTCCTCGGTTAGGGTTAAGTGCACCGATCAGAACGTAACCAGATCGTAGGCATATTTGAACCACTTTGTTACACCACTGCTGATGGATACGTAGTAATCTCGCTATACATTTTAATGACCGTAAAACCGCGTTGCCTATTTGATCTATCACATCAATATCATCGTAAAAAAGCTTAGTAAAAAATAAAATTTCAAAATTTGGAATACCCGCTTCTGCCCGCAATAGTTTTGTCCTTTAGATGGAAGCTCTAAGAATCGATTCCGAAGTCACACTGAGAACGCTTTATGAAAAAATACCGATACAGTTTATCTTCGGTTCCTGCTCATAAGCAGGTTAAGAGATACTCTCGACAGTGAAAAAGATTGAGACCTACCAGAAAGAAAAAGACCTACCAGACGCGCCTACCGCCTCCCGCACTTCCCGAATTTTTCTAGGGTAGTCTCGCCCCACGCAAAAGAAGGACGGAGAAGCATTAGACACGAATTCAATATTATCAAGTTTTTCCTAATTAAGTGTTTATATACTTGATTCACGAAAGATACTTTAAGAAGATATAGTTCATCTCGTCCTAATATTAGTATCGCTGACACTACTGATGGCATAATAACGTTGTGTTTATTACATGGATGAAATAGAATAATGGTTGCTTTACGAAATATTACATTTTTGTTAAAACAACAGTAGTTTATAACCACTATATATTACGGACTCTCTAACTGAGTCATGTTAACGAGAGGAATGGGTGAACAGCAGCAACAGCCGCCGGGATTCAGCTGTGATGGAGATTTTCAGTTTTGAAAATAACTGCAATTCGAACCCCATACCTATTGGCAGAGAATGCACGCTGAACCTGTGCTCGTGAAAGATGGATCGGTATAATGATCGAAGTCGAAGTAACTGAACGGCCTTGCATTAGTCTTCGGTTCAACGGTCTTCAGTTCAATGAAAGTTGTAATCACAGGGAAAGAACTGCTGACCATTCTGTACTTTCCATATAGGCATCCTTTACATGTTAATTAGTTAGAAGTTTATTAGCCCGATCTACATGAGCTATATTGAATTTCTGCAATATTAAAATTATAAGATAAGCTGCAATATCAAAACTATGTATTCTTTTGTCCAGTTTCTATCAAGTACATGTATGTACGACATGCCTAACGATGTATTTTGCGCATACTGCTTAGAGGGATCATCTCTAGGGGACGACTAAACGTTTGTGCTAAAATACAAGCGCAGTCCATACCGAAACAGATTAAAGGAATCATTTGAATCCTACATAAAACGACATTAACCTGATCCGATTATGAGTGCGACTGAGACTTCCGGCCAGCTAGAGGCTATTTGACTGGCAAAGTGGTAAGAACTTTAAGTGTAGTTCGTATGACTCCGGATACTTGGGCGTGTTTGAAAAGAAAAGTAAGCATTTGAGATAATCATTTCACAGCATTTATAAAGAAGGTCGAAGCTCAAGCATTGAGAATAGAATGCTTTCAAACATACTGTGGAGCGTTGAGAGCCTAAAATCATAACAAAATATGATCTATTAGATAAATTGCAACGTAGTTTCTAACAGAGGTCTTATATAGAACTACGACGAGGCCAAACCATACCCTGATTACGTTCAGAAAACATCCGAAACCTTTTGATATTGTGCAGTAATTGAAGCTTGGTAGGAACGCAACTGTTCGTCATCGTGTCATTTAGAAGCCACGCACACAAGGAACTGGCACGAATGTATATATAAAAATGTATCATTACCACAAGAACGTTCATGCTTGTTATAATCGCATTACTAATTATAGTTGCAGGGTGCACTGGACAGTTACATCGTGATATATTATCAGAGTTAGCCTTGTCGGGGGGGGGGGGGGGGGGGGCTTCGAGTCTATTTTGACCCACATTTCGGTGACGGTCACGGTTCGATCCAACCATTGGGTCTTATCTATGGCGATTGTTACATGTTTATTAACGTAACAAGCGATACCTTCATTGCACCACAGCAAGATAGATAAAGATACCAACGTTAGCATATACTTCTAATATGTGTAATATTATCTGTCCGAACCGCCTGAACGTGGCTACGTTTGAACGAGCTTTCACGGTAAGTGGCCAACTCGTTGGCTTTCAGATGCAAATAGTCAAAGCAACATAAAAATATTAAAACGTTTTGTTTTGCTAAAAGACAATAGATAAATCGCTCATTCTTACACCCCTCGCGTCCATGTACGCAGTACGAATTGTTACAGTTTAATTTCCTAGCACATGACGTATACAGTATTGCGGGTCTGTCTTGACAAAATGGCTGAACGTAAAGTTCATGAATGTTGGCGTATTGGATAGATATTAAGCTTCTTATGCCCATACTGTGCGTAAAACTGAAAGGAGTGCAACCGGTTTGCGTGGCAAGATTAATCAAAATCGCACGCCCCAGCCGCGTGGATTTAACGTATTTCTCTGATAAAGACGGATAGGGAAGAATGCTACTTGATTTTCAATTCTTGTGTAGCTGTAAGGTATATTTACATATGGTTATTTTTCGCGGTCAGATTATTTTTTTTCGATGACGGAATCAATAAAATTTGTTATCTGCGATTAGAGTCCTAAATTATAACGGCGCGGAAATTATGTTTTTGAATGGGCCATACATAAGGTTCTCAGCAAGTTTAATAAATTGATTCACACTACAGGATGAATACTTTGTGGCACAATGACTGGTTTTAAACGCATTTCATGAAAATGTAGTTTAATTTAATTAACGGAGTTAAATCTGATATTTTGTACTAGTTGAATTTTCTGTAACGAGGATTCAAAGTTTATGTCCGAATTCGACATCAATTTTGTAATAAAATAATAAATTGACTTTTCAAACCTCTCCTTATTACACTATATGCGCAGCTAAATTACAACGTTGCGTCAAATAGAGTGCCATTATTAATTGTAAATAATAAAACATAGTAAAATAAAATATGAAGTAAACGGTGACGGTGTTTAAAATACCTGTTGGTGATTTGTCCTAGGTGTTTATTTATTGAATTGTTTAAATATCTACTTGAAGCCATTTCACAGAACAATCCCATCACAATAACGGCCTCGTGATCCACGGATAAACCTATATCTCAAAATAAATAAAAGCAACATGAGGTGACTATCGTACTGGAAAGTTGTAGGTTTAGGATATTTAAAGGCCTTGAAGAATTCAACTTCAGCCATTTTTACTGTTTTTTGTAAGTCATAAGTTTCCGAGATCAACGATAATACACCATATGTATAGTTTCAGCTATTATAAATAATAATTTCCAGTGTTGTGCCCCTAATTTTTTTGTATGTCATTTGTTAGGCTCATTTGTGTACGTACTTCATATTGACGAATATAT